TTTATTTTTAAAGTGAGTGGATTCCTGGTTGCATTGTTAGGAATGATAAATTGATACCACATGTTGATTCCGGACAAAAAAGCCTCTGTGTTCCAGCAGCATTACAATTGCAGCTGCTGTCTGAATTAATGGGAAAGCTCCATAAGGTAAACATGGTATGGAAGAGACTGAAACAGACACTGAGCTTGAAGAAGTGAGGAAATTCTTGCAGGAGAGGGTCTGCCAATTTTCTTAAACGAAAGAAGAAGGAAAAACAAACAAAACACTTTCTGATGGCATCCTGAAATAGGAAGGGCAATCAGTGGTCCAGATCAAATTGGCAAAACAATGTAAACAGTTCTGAGAGAACATTTTTCATTGTCCTTTCATGGTCCTTAGGAAAGCTATGAATGAAGGGAGCAAGTGAGTTGTAATGCATGGACATTAATACATGACCCTTGAGAGGTTATCCTACTTTTCAAGAGTGGCTTCTTAAAGAGTTGGAGAGAGGGCTAATCTACAGCCAAATGAGACCCATTTTAATGGCATGAATGCAATTGGTGCCACTCTGAAGCTTCTGCATGTGTTTCAGGGGAAGCCTCCACTGGTTCCAGTGGGACCTTCTCTTGAAATACAGAGGAATACTTCAGACAGCAGGTTTTTATCAGGATCATGACAGGGAGATGAAGACCTGGTTAGAACAGCATGACAGCCCACGCTGGGTTCGTTAGCTGTAGCAGTGGTGCAGCATTCGCTGTCTGCCATTAGGCATATGCAAGCCCAACCAGGGGTTTCCATGGCTTTTCATGTCGTATGAAGCAAGACAACAGGGATTGTGTAAGCATTAAACAACCCTTGCATAACCTAAAACAAAACTTACTCACCCATCTCATTATGTTTGAAGCCAAGTTAGAAAGTTCCTCATGACACCATCTTGAGATATTTTTTTTTTAAATAAGACAGTATAGGAAAATTTAAATATAAATAAATAAGGGTTTTCTGGTAGAGAAAATGGGCATTTGAAGCAGTTTCATAGTGCTTTAAAATTCAGAAAATGTACATGTTTTTGATTTTTCTAAGTGTTTAATAGTTATAAAAATGATCATTATTCACAGTAGTCCTGTGAATTCCCATTAATCTCATTTTTAAAGATGTGAAACTATGCAAACTATTGACACGTTTAAGGCCACCCAGTTAGAACATGGCTGGTGTTCAGTTGGTATCCAGAATTCCCTCCTCAAACTTCTATCCTCCCAGTCATATTAGTTGTTCTAGTTAAGAGCAGTTGTTTAACCTGGACAGCAAAGATTCTGTAATCCTTAAATTATGTTCCCTGATGTCATAGCTATCCTGTGAATGAGGGAGCTCCAGTGCATACACAGAGCTCTTCTTCAAATAGCTTGCCCATTCATTACAGTGGAGGAGACGGTGCAGTGCTTGCAGAAGAATTGCAGGCACATTGCTGACCCTCCAGTTAAATGAGCAGAGACGCTAGCTCACACAGAAATTCTGTGTACCCATCAGTGTTCACAGGGCTCTGAATCAGAGCCATTAGCTGGCAATGTGAAAAAGAAAACACTGCAGAGCTTTTTTATTGGAGCCATGCCTTTTTGCTTACAAAGAAAGAAAAGCAGCTGGTGTGGATTTTTTGTTTTCTTAAAGTGATAGTCCAATGTAGGTCTACTCCGAATAAAAGCAAGAACAACTTGGGTTGGGCCTTTTTTCTTTAATAGACCTGGCTTCAGACTAAACTTTTTTTAATGTACTGACAATGGATGAAAAAAGCATGTAGACAAACTACATTTCTTTACATGCCCCAGATGTCTTCCATTTACTAAATGTCATCTCATGGGTGCCAGGATGGAACGCCTTAAATGACAATCCCTCTGGGGTGTGTGTGTGTGCGCGTGTGCACATGCACATTTCTATTTAGGAATGTAGTTTGTGAGCTCCCTGTTGCCATTTTGTTTTCAAAATTTGCTGGCAGAAGACACAGATTTGTTTTTTCTACATAGCTACAAGTGACGTTTGCCAGTGTTTTAAAGACTCCTCCATCTTCACATTTCGGCGTACAGCTTCATACAGGACTTTTGCCAAGAACAGCATGCCGCCCAAGTTCTTTAACATTATCTATCAAAATCTGAAACACAACTTTGAGCTATATTTCAGGTAGAATCTACAGCAAATTCTCTCTCCCCTCCCCTCTACTTTCTTCTTCTCTCTTTCCAGCTAGTGTAAACATAAGGTACTACTCAAAAGAGTTGATGGAAATAGCTTTTTATTTAATAGCCTATTATCTCTTTCCTGAGGTCACTCTACCCTAGCATTCCTGAAATGGCATAGCGATTTCTGTGTAATGGGTACATTTTCTGCACTTAATGGAGGCAGTTATAGTCTCATTCATGGTAGTTCCACATACTATATTTCTTGTGCAATGGGCTGGAACTTGGCATCACTGGTTCTTTTTACAGGTTTGCTAGTGCTTTGTAACTTAACTGCATATAATGGCAAGTCTTGGGAAATGTACCAGAATGTGTAGCAGAGTTAGGCCAGTTACTTAATTTAGATGCCACTGAAGGAAGTAGAAGAGGAGGAAGTAAACAATGAATATATTTACCAGAGAACAAATAAGTCCACTTGGTGCTGTTTGCTGAAGTCCTTTGGCTTAAAAGATCTCAAACATATTTTACACTGATCTTGAACATGCTGACCTAGGAAATTAAGCTTTTTCCTTTATTTTTTGAAGAACTGGTTTTCAGATAGTTCTTCAAAAACCAGTTCTGCAAAATGCTCAGATTCACAGCATATCTCTAATAATTATCCCAGTTTCTAACAATGCATTGATGCATCTATAACTTTCAGAATATCTTGGTAAAGGATCTTAATAGGAAATTATAGTCAATAAAGGAAAGAGAGCAGTTCTCCTTAGTGAATGAACAGAGAATTAGGGGTGGGGGAGTTATATTAAAGTTGTATAGAAAGTCATATTGAATCTCTTAAACCAATGGCATTTGTGTTGAATACACTTTTCTGAAGAATCATGCAGAGCTAGAGATTCATGATAGGGTAGGCTACATAAATTCTGTGTTTAGTGCAGTGGTGGGACCACTAAATAAGAAGGAAGGAGATCCAGTAACTGATATGAGGGAACAGGCACAGATGCTAAATGACTATTTTGCCTCTGTGTTCTCCCCAAAGCAGGATGGGGGATATCCGCATAGGAGATTAGATGAGGCTGGGGACTTAGGGGCACAGATTAGAGTCACCCCCCTTGAAGTTGAGGGGCTCCTCAGGGCATTGGACATTACAAAGGCTCCAGGCCCTGACGGGTTACACCCAAGAGTACTTAGAGAGTTGGCAGGGGTTCTCTCATGCCTGCTGGCCTCCATTTTTGAGACCTCGTGGAGAACAGGTGAAGTTCCAGAGGACTGGAGGGTGGCATCAGTGGTCCCAATTTTCAAAGAGGGTAGTAGAAAGGACATGGGGAATTATAGACCGGTTAGCCTTACGTCCATTGTAGGAAAAACAATGGAAAGGCTCATAATAGAGATCTAGTGATGCTAGATAGGGAAGGGAGGCTGACAGCCACACAACACGGCTTCCGCAAAAACAGGTCCTGCCAGACAAACCTTGTGGAATTCTATGACAAGGTTTCGAGATGGCTAGATGGAGGGGATGCAGTGGATGTGGTATACCTGGATTTCAGCAAGGCATTTGACAAAGTGCCCCATGATATCCTGGTGGAGAAACTGAGGAGCTTTGGGATACACCAAAGCACTGTCCGGTGGATTATGGCATGGCTGACTGACCGAAAGCAGAATGTAACCATTAGCGGGGAATCATCGGGATGGCAGCCTGTAACAAGTGGGGTCCCCCAGGGCTCTGTCCTGGGGCCAATCCTGATTAATCTTTTCATTAACGACATGGAAGAAGGGGTGAACAATCTACTGATCAAATTCGCAGACGACACTAAAACTGGAGCAGTGGCCACAACTGAGGAGCAGGTACTCCAGATCCAAAAGGATTTGGACAGACTATGGAAGTGGGCAGGAGACAACAGGATGGCGTTCAATGTGGATAAGTGCAAGGTCTTGCACTTGGGGCATAGGAATAGCTGCCATAAGTACAGGTTAGGGGACAAGTGGCTGGAGAGCAGCACTTGTGAAAGGGACCTCGGGGTGCTGGTTGCAGGCTAAACATGAGTCAGCAGTGTGATGCGGTGGTTAAGAGGGCGAACGCCACCCTTGGTTTCATAGCCAGAAGTGTGGCTTCTAGATCAAGAGAGGTATTACTACCACTCTACATGACTCTGGTGCGCCCACAATTGGAGTATTGTGTTCAGTTTTGGGCCCCTCATTACAGAAAGGATATAGCCAGGTTGGAGTCAGTGCAGCGTAGGGCCACAAGGTTGGTGGCCGGTTTGCAGGGGACGCCGTATGAGGCGAGACTGAGGGAACTGGGTCTCTTCAGCCTGGAGAAGAGGAGACTCAGAGGGGATATGTTGGTGACATACAGGTATGTGAAGGGATGTCACACGGAGGTGGGTAGAGACCTGTTCTCCCCTGCAGAGGAAGGCAGGACACGCTCCAGTGGAGCAAAGCTCAGGGAGCCAAGGTTCCATTTGGATGCCAGGAAGCACTTCATGACAGTCAGGACCCCGAGGGTGTGGAATGGGCTTCCACGAGAAGTCGTTGAGGCCCCATCAGTGCGGGTGTTCAAGGATAGGCTGGACGTCCACATGGTGGGCATGTCGTAAGCGGAGCTGGCTGGTGCCGGAGGTCAGACTAGATGGCCCGGGAGGCCCCTTCTGACTCGCTCTGTTTCTATGTACGTAGCACTTTTTTATTTTTTTTTTTTGCAATACATGAAACCTAAAATAGCCATCAAAGTTGCCATTATAGTAGCAGAAGAAGGCAAGGTAGTATTTTTTTTCTTACAATGTTTACATGTTAGCTATCATTGAGATGAATAAAGGAAATGTGTCTCTATCTAAATATTCTTTTTTTGTGTGGTTCTTGCAGAACTCGATCAGGCACAACTTGTCCCTCCATAGTCGATTCATCAGGGTACAGAATGAAGGAACTGGGAAAAGCTCATGGTGGATGATCAACCCAGATGGTGGGAAAGGTGGGAAAGCCCCACGGAGACGTGCAGTTTCAATGGACAACAGCAACAAGTACACAAAGAGCCGAGGAAGAGCAGCTAAGAAGAAAGCGGCCTTACAAGCTGCACAGGAAACAACTGAAGACAGCCCCTCCCAAATTTCCAAGTGGCCAGGTAGCCCAACCTCCCGCAGCAGTGACGAGCTGGACGCATGGACAGATTTCCGGTCCCGTACAAACTCAAATGCCAGTACGATAAGTGGCCGCTTGTCACCAATCTTGGCAAGTACTGAGCTAGATGAGGTCCAAGATGACGATGCTCCACTTTCCCCCATGCTGTACAACAGTCCACCCAGCATGTCCCCATCAGTTAGCAAGCCCTGTAATGTTGAGCTGCCTAGGTTGACTGATATGACAGGTACCATGAACTTGAATGATGGTCTGACAGATAACCTTATGGATGACCTTCTGGACAATATAACTCTTCCCTCTCCCCAGCAGTCACCCACAGGGGGCCTCATGCAAAGAAGTTCAAGTTTTCCATATGGCTCCAAAGGTTCAGGTCTTGGTTCTCCATCAAGTACTTTCAATAATGCTGTGTTTGGACCATCCTCTTTGAATTCCCTCCGTCAGTCTCCCATGCAAACCATCCAAGAGAACAAGCAAGCTACATTTTCTTCCATTTCGCACTACAATAACCAAACACTGCAGGATCTTCTGGCATCAGATTCACATAGCCACAGTGATGTCATGATGACGCAGTCTGATCCACTTATGTCACAAGCTAGCACAGCTGTGTCTGCCCAAAACGTACGTAGGAGTATTATGCTCCGGAATGATCCAATGATGTCATTTGCGGCCCAACCAAGCCAGGGCGGTTTGGTCAACCAGAATCTGCTCCACCACCAGCATCAATCCCAGAATTCCTCTCTCAGTGGCAGTCGTGCCTTGTCGAATTCCATCAGTACTATGGGCTTAAGTGACACAAACAACGTTGGCTCGGCAAAACACCAGCAACAGTCACCTGCCAACCAGTCTATGCAAACACTTTCTGACTCACTCTCAGGCTCTTTGTATTCCAACAGCGTGAGCCTTCCAGTCATGGGGCATGATAAATTCCCCAGTGATTTGGACCTGGATATTTTCAATGGGAGTTTGGAGTGCGACATGGAGTCCATTATCCGCAGCGAACTCATGGATGCAGACGGGTTGGATTTTAACTTTGATTCCCTCATCTCAGCCCAGAATGTTGTCACTCTGAATGTGGGAAACTTCACTGGTGCTAAGCAAGCTTCATCACAGAGTTGGGTTCCAGGCTGAAGGTTTTATGCAAAGAGGGGAAAATGGGCAAAGCAGGTTAGCAATGTTTAGTCTGTTGGCATTCATTAGACTTCAGTAGACTGTACTTTGCCATATGTAAATATGGTTTTTAAAAATGACAAGTACAGCCTTTACGACAAACATCCCAGACCAAATTGGGGGGTATATTATGCACTCGAATTATATGTTGAGGATTTGCCATAATAGTAACTAAGAGCTGGTTCAGTTTCTCTGTTCTGCAAGGTGATCTCCAAAGGCTCATCTTAAAGATGTAGAGTCTTATTCATGGACCCTGCATAATCACAACCGTTTCCCTCATACTTGCTGCTGAGGGACACAGCCTGTTGAAAGGGGGCTCTGAAACACAGGTGTGCAAGCATAATTCCACAGTGGTGCCTTTTGCTTCTTCACCAAATCTCTGAACCTGTTTCTCATGCTGAACCTCTTCACAAGACTGGTTTCCATGTGGCTTTTCCCACTTGCGGTTGTCTCCCCACTCTCAAAAAAAAACACTGCCTCCTATTGTGCAAAATGACACAACGGTTCTGTTGCTTATTCCTTGCAGTAGTTGGTTTGCACTGGAATGCTCATGATGTGAAAAGAGAATTGGATTTTTAACAGGGTAGATGACAAAAAACTAAACATTTCTTTTATTATGTTACAGTTAATTCATGGAATCAATTAACCTCAAGCTGATTTTTCTGACTGGGGTTTGGAGCCAAAAGAACTTTCCCCCAAGCTATTTTTTCAACCATGAAACAGAATATATGAGTATTCTATGAATAGGGCAGTCATAGTGTCATGTGACTATAAGTGCAATTATAAAGTCCATATTAGTGCAATACCTTTATTAGGCCAACCAATATATCACAAAAAATGTGCAAATTCTCAGAATCTTCAGATGTTCATAGAATCACAGAATAGTAGAGTTGGAAGGGGCCATGAAGGCCATCGGGTCCAACCCCCTGCTGTTGTAGGACACCAGTTTACACCATCCCACTCAGATGAGTCGAGTTTCTTTTTGAATGTCTCTAGTATGGGAAAGCCCATGACCTCTTTCGGCAACTGGTTCCACTATCATATTACTCTGACGATGAGGAAACTTCCTGATATCTAGCCGGAACCTGGGTTGTCACAACTTAACTTGAGTATTCCATTTCCTACTCCAGTATCAACAAGAAGAAAGCTTGACCTTCCTTTTTGTGACATCCTTTGAGGTATTTATAGAGGGATATTGTGTTGCCCCCTCAGTCTTCTCAAGGCTGAACATGCCCAGTTGTCTCAATCTCCCCTCATAGGGCAGTGTTTCCAAACCCTGGATCATTTTTGTTGCCCTCCTCTGGAACCTTTCTAATTTTTCTGCATCTTTCGTAAATCTTGGTGCCCAGAACTGGACACAGTATTCCAGATGAGTTCTGACTAGTGAGGAATACAGGGGAACTACTATGTCTTGTGATTTGGATGTAAAAAGCGGTATGATTTGATGTTGAAGTAGTTATTTATTTATTTATTACATTTAAAGTTGAAGTCTGACTGATTGATTGATTGACTGCATTTATATACCACCCCAATAGCCCAGAAGGCTCTCTGGGTGGTTTACAAACATTAAAACCCCACCAATCATAAAATAAATCAATTGGCTACACCACAACTGAGTATAAAATAACATGGTTAAAATGAATTAAATAAATAAATATACCATTAAAATTAATTAACTTTAAATTATTGGTTAAATAAAAAGGTCTTGGCCTGGCACCAAAAAGCACCTCTCTAGGGAGCGTATTCCATAGTCGGAGCGCGACTGCAGAGAAAGCTCTCCTCTGAGTACTCTGTCTCCTAAACTCTTTCACAGAGGGTTCCTGGAGGAGGGCCTCTGCTGCTGATCTTAGGGGACAGGAGGGCATATAGGAAAAAAGGCATTTTTTATAGTGGTGCTTATTTAACTTGCAATATAGGTAGGCCATATATGGCCACCATTTTGAATATGCACCCTCCACTTGGAAGTTGCATTGTACAATGCCAGTATGTACAGATTCTGGGAAGGGCAAACAACTCTTGCATAACCCATGCTCACCAGGTTTTCACGACAAACCCGAGTGGGGGTAGCATATGCATTGTGGTACCTGTGGGCACTGCAGCTCATTATGAGATAAATAACCCACTACAAGTTGCAAATTGTCTTTTGAACCCAGCCAGTGTCTTCATGCGACCTTACTATTATGAAATGCTTTGTAAAAAGAGGCAGACATTCACAGACAGAGCATTTGATGCCGGAGATACATGGCTAGGCTCTCCTGTGGGGTTTTTTTTGGGGGGGAGGGGGAATTATAAGCAGCTGAGGATATGGAATTTGGCATGGCAGAGCAGAGTTAGTGCTTCCTCTCTCTGCCACCTTCTTAATTGAAATCATGCAGCTGCATACTCATCTTTGAAACACCTATGTGTCCTGCAGGCAAAAACCTCTGGGTAGAAGTCTTTGCAAAAGCTGGGCTGGGATGGCTTGCTGGCTTTCACAAATGTTGTCCCAAATATAATTACAGTGGCACGCAGCTTTGGGTAGTACTCATTCTGAAGTGGAGTGAAAAACATAAATGGCATATCATTAGTGTCATAACTGTGGGCAAAAATGTCATGGGAGTATATGATCATGGTTATCAAAAGCCTACTTACAGAAGCTCTGATGCATCTTCAGAAACACACTAGCTCCTCAGGGATTTCTGCCAACTTTGATTTGAAAGCTGGTCTAACTGGACAAAAAGTTCTAGCATTTCAGTTCCAACGAAGTGCCATATAATTGGCAGGTGTGGCAGAACAGTTTCCAGTTGCTGTTCTGGCAAACAGTAGTGGAACCAGGGTGGGAAACTGAGAAGGAGGGGAGAGCCATTCCACTCTGAGAAGTTTGTACTGTTCATCTCTTGACTTCAGGAAATTCTCCATTTCATTTAAAACAAAAACCTGATGAAGAAGTTCATTCTATCATGCTAAGACAACTATCAATCAAGCTTATTGCTTGTAATGAATTATTATTTGCTAATCATGAAGGCTGCAATCCTAATTATGCAATGGAATACGAATTCAGTGAGACTTCAGTCCTAATAAACACATACAGCACTGGCCAGTAAGAAGAGGAAGTGCAACTCCCATTTGCTCTGTGAAATTAAATTAAGATATGTATTACGTATTTTATTTATAATTTCCAAGTTTTTTTTTAACAAATCAGTGCAATTTCTAAACTATGGGCAATGTCCTAACAGTCATAAATAGGAGAGCAGAACTCTGGTAAATCTTTCTGTTGTGCAAGTGATTGTGTATTATGTATGTCAAAGCATAATGTACAACCATTTGGGTAACCACATCTGTGCAAGCCTTACTTTGGCTGGAGTCTTCTCTTGCTCAGAGGTTGGAACTTAGTTTCTGCTGGTGCACTGCCATTTGCTCGAGAAGAATGGCATAGTGGGATGCTGCCTATATACAAGAAAACATATTGGAAAATAAAAATATAGGATTCAGTAGTTTTAAACAATTCTGTAAGGGTGTTGATTGTATCTAATTTTATACACTTTAGTGTTACTTACAGGTTTGTTTGCACTCACACACATACTGGAAGAGCTGCTAAAAATAGATGGGACAAATCAACTGTCAAAATAATAGCCTAGGAACTGTGGCTTAGCTCAGTTGTCAGTCAAACCTGGAATTGCCACCCGTCCTTCTTTGCCAGGGTCATGCTATACTCACAAGGCTTGCAAGAGAGTTATAACCAGGAGCATTGGCAGTGGGCTATGTTAGCAACAGGTAAGATAAAAGTGGCAGATGTCTCTGCTGCTGCTTCATAGAGATCAGTTTCTTATTATCTCCATCTACAACACAAATGAGAGCTTTGAGGAAGGAATCTATGTGTTGCTGGGCATCCTGCTCACCAGAAGACATCCATCCCTAACAAGCTGGTCAGTGGATTTGTGATGCCTGAAAAAATACAGTATAACAAAGCAACAGAATAATAGGTCATCCATTATTTGAGATTTTCTGTGCACTTTTTAAAAGGCCATTATGCTGCTCATGTGATTCAACAAAGATAATTGGAAACTTGCTGTTCCTACCAATTCCAAAATTATGGGATAGCACACTCTCAGAAGATGACAGAATCGCTTGGTATTTTTAGATCAAGCAAAGCAGCATCAGGTGGACTTCCTAAAGCATGACTTCAGTTATATTAGGAGTGTCTTGTAGAATCTTACTTTTTTGTTGTTTTCCTTCCCAGTGTTTATTGCAGTTTAGCCTTGGATTGTGACATCCTCTTTCCCAATATCCTGTTGAGTTGGAGTGCTTTTTAATGGCTAGTTTGTCTTTTTTTTACAGTAATTAGTTTTTTCCTTAAACAGTAAAACCTGCAGGAATATATTACTTTAAAAGGCAGCATAGTCCAGCTAAATAAGCACCAGACTGGCGTTACCTGGGTTTCTGTACCTTTAATTGTTCCAAGGCACTGAAAGGTGGGCAAGCCCAGTGCTTGCTGCACATTCCTTCATACAGGAATCTACATCTGAGTGGAGCTTCAGGTGGAGACAAATGGGAGCCAGGAACTTCATCCTGTCCTGAGGCCTTTCTGTATCTAAATGGCTAGACACAGTCTGTGAATGAATGCTTAACAGCCCTAACCCAGATAGTCGCCTGAGAATGGGTGCTTTATTGAAGGCAGTTCTCTGTTTGGATTAACTGAGTTCAAAGACTTTGGACCATTGAATTCACAGACAAGTATAGAACTGGTAGGAAAACTACCTGCTGGCTACTCTGTGGAATTTCATTGACTTGTGCAGTAAGGACAGTATGCCTATGGAGACCGTGGGCTTTTCTACATTATGCTTTTGGCCGACCAACTTTACCAAGGCTTCTGTTCCTGGATTTTTTATGCAAAGATCTGTTCCCCTGTGGATTTTTTTCTTGGTTTTTCTTTCTCTGTCTTTCTGTTATGTTCCTGTACAAATGCGCTGAGTAGCATTATGGTATAGTAGATACACTAAGATTTCATGCCACCATTC